TTTTTTTTTCCGAAATATCACGGCCCTTAAAATACTGCCTCCAAGCTACTTCTATTCCTTGTTGATCTTAAAATGGCATACTAATTAAAACCCAGTTATACTAGTTCCCATTGGCTTTAATTCTAGCAACTGGCTTTCTTGTATAAGTTGTGAAACATTGGTTCATGCTGTTGTTTGTTCACTAAGCTACAAACCAAAGCTTTGAAAGTGCTGCTTTTATTTGTGCAACAGAAACCAAATGCACTAAAATAAATCCAAAATGAGAGGCCAAAGATAAGGAGTCACGAACTTGCTAGTATTTTATTGGCTATGTTGTACCAATTTAATGGTGTATTTGTACAAACAGTACACAGGTGAAGTCATAGTATCCAAATTTTCTGCATACAAACCCAGGTTTAGGTTGTGATGGTTTTCATATATACTAGGGTATTATGTACTACCCGGGAAAAGGGGGGGGGGGTGAATTTTGTTCAACTAGTTGTAATGATATTGGAGCTAATATATTCTTTAAAAGATATAGGCTTTGTGCATTGGTTTCAGTGTTATCAACTGAAACCACTTCAGTACATGTCATATTGTTATTGACATACACTGCTCTGATTACTGGTTGCACATGCTTTATTTAAAGAGTGCACAACTTATATTATGTTTAATTTATTTGTCAGTTAATGTTTACAGTGTATGATGTATACTAATCAGAATTGTGCCATAAGTTGTTTTTTCTCTTAATAGAAGACTATAATAAATTACAGCATACAGCCATTTTGTTAGTCACTGTTTCTTATAAAGCATGTCTTATTTCAGGGAGGGGGCTTAAAAGAACCATCATTTTGGTTGGAAAAAAAGCCCTCTGAATTGAAATTTGATCTAGGATCTATGTACTTCCTCAAGTCAACTAAGGGAGTAAAGATGTCCACTTTTTGAGAAAAATGGCCCCCTCTGAAAACGCTGCTACATGCCTGTATACCCTTTATATCCATTGACAACAACCACGTGTATCCAGTATCCATTTCCCCCACATATCCATTGGCAACCATCACATGTATCCAGTATTCATCACTCACTTAAATCAATTGTAACAATCTCTTTTACTCCATAGCAAAATAAAACTGCCTTCCCAATTGGATAAATTAAATTTCTATTGAGGCATGACCAAAAGGTCATACTGAAATTGTTCTGTTAACATGAATATTTTGTTCATGAAAAATATTCTTTAGAGAGCGCTTTGGATAGACGATATGAATGAAATGAGAGAAGAAGAGACGTGGATTTTGCTTATCTGCTGCGAAAGTTGTTTAATGTAAATCACCAATATTCTCCTTTGAGTAGTATTTTCAAATCAATTCATGCAAGATTATTAAGAATAAAAACAGATCTGCCTTTGAAATTGGTAAACTTAACATACATAGCCAAATGGTGTTAATAAGCCTATTGCAACGTTTTAATGGCAAATTTTGCAGTAGCACAGATTTTTAGCCTTTGTTGGGATGATGGAAGTTCTCCAAAGAAGTTATATCTAGGGTTTATACATGGATGAGGGCAAGGTGGCTTCACAAAAAGTTGAAACTTTCGTTTTCCATTCACGTGTGGTATATGTTCAGAGACCATGCCATATGTTAAAGTCGTGTTGTGTTGCGGCGATGCAGGATAATAAAGAGATTAAACGGTGAAAGTTGCTCATGTTATTATTTGAGTTTTGCATTTAATTGTCAGTAGTAGAGGCGAGATGCACTTTAAGTGCATAGTCCAATTGACACTCACATTTTGATAATAAGTAAATCTTGTGTGGAAAGCTTTATTTCACATTTCTGGACACAATGAGTCGAACTTCTTTTTGTACCTAGCATGTCAAGAATTGCCACTTGGCACTATAACTGGCACATTTTTCGAGTTCTGTTTTTTCTAAACGAAGGCGGGATTTTATTTACATGCCGTAGGTACATTGCACGCGTGAAAGACTCGGACGTTTTTGTTCTTCCCAAATGTTGTTTGAAATTGGTCTCGTTGACAGAATTTGCACATGCCTCAGTCTTTTACGTTGAATGTGCATAGCCCAGAGTAGACGATTTGAATGAAACGAGAGAAAAATAGACGTGAACTTTGCTTACCTGTTGCAAAACTTGTGTTTAATGTAAGTGACCAAATATGAAGGTATGATGCTAGGTTAGTAAATAATATTTGAATGGTAGGGAATGAAGTGAATGTCATTCGTTCAAACTGTATAAGAACCGGCGGTTTTTTCCAATTTTGAAGGTACAGCCTTGTTGATAATGTGGTTATTTATAGCGTAATAGTTCCACACCCAGCTCTTTACCTCGCGTAGGCATTTTCCATTGGTTTTTGACTTGATGGAGTTCTTTAAAATTGCGACACCCATATCTTGTTACAACCGTTAAAAGGGTAAACGACTTTTAAGGCATGGGGTCGAATTTTGTATCATAATAAACCGATTTTTGTGATTGATGTCCATTATATGATGTAAACATGCTAATTTTGCAATATTTAATCTTCATAAAAAATTAAAATTTGAAGTCACGCTAGTGCTGAGGGTTTTTTAATCGAAAAATGCATTGGGATATATATACAATGTTTCGAATGAATGAATAGAAAAAGCATAAAAGTAGACACGTGGCGTTTGACTTTAAATGACTATAAATCTATAATATAAATCCTTGATATACAAGCATTTATGACGCATTCGAAGATTAGGAGTACGTCATGTTATTCAAAAGAATTAAAAAATAGTAATGGTTAAATAGAAAAATAGAACCCAAAGCACTTTGTTGTATTCCATATTAAGTTACTTGCAGTGAAAAAAGGAGGGGCGCCGTGGGCCAAGGGTCGTTATTTAGTAAGGAAAAGCTTTGCAAAGAAAGTCTAGTTTGCTATTCATTGCAGTGCGCAGATGTGTCTAGAATTTTTATCACGTACTGATCATTTACTTCATTTGGTAACATGCACGTTATATCCAATATCTCCTTTAGTCTTTTATATTGTGCAAGTTCCATCGGATGATTCATTCTTTTTCATAAGTTAATGTTTATATTCTGATAACTTTCCAGTACATTTCAAAAGATTATATAATTTTTTTCACGTTCAACTATTCAAATAAAACTGGTAAGGTGTGCATGAAAGGGTAAAGCTCGGACCCGGTTTGGTCCAAAGGTAAAGTTTGGAAATTATTGGCAATAGTACATGACCTTTGCACGATTCTTGCATCGCAAATTGGCTTAATATTTAAGAATGTTTTGAGCACTTATTTGAAAACAAGTTTGGGATAATTTGTTTTATCTGGGTACGTATAACTGAACGACAGATCGTATCACAGTATCACCTAAGGTAAAGACGCACNTTGCAAATTTCACTATTTTGTGAATTGAAAAAATATATTCTCTTATAAGGCTTTAGCAGGTATTTGATGATATTATCATGTAAAAATGTGATTCAAAAATAAATTAGATTGGCAAAACTAGTGTACTGGTAATTATCTCCTCGGCAAATGGCAAGAATAACTTTTCACTAGAGCTTATAACTACTGTATCTTAGGAGAGTCCAGAAGAGATAGAGAAGGTACAGGTTTTATTTTACACTGTCCAAAAGCATTCTCTCCTCTTTACATGTACTGTTTTTTATCTGTGTTTAATAAAGCATACATGTACATACAGATTTTCTCTACATTCTATGTGCAATGAGCTAGGCTTCTGATTATGTGTAACTTGCTGCCATATTTTTCAAATGGAGAGGGGCTACGAATGCAATGCAATCTACTTTCATATTTTGAGTAAACTGTTATTTTATTTGCATGTTTATTTCTGATACAATTTTCTTTTCCTTTTAAAGACACTTTAAGATATTTCAGTTGTGCTTTTATTGTGTGACATTCTGCTGTTAAGCATTGTGTATATTGTATGCATAAGTGTCAGCTTTTGCCGTGTTACAATTTTAGTATTCTTTATTTTAATATGGATGAATGAATCAATAGAAAAAATAAAATTAAAAAAAAATGTTGGACTTAAAATTATGTGTTTCAGAAGTTGAAAAGGATTGTGAATTATTGTATACATGTGGAATAATTGTACTGTGTCCATATTGTACATTTATGCCTGTTGTTGAGAAATTAACAATTAAAACATATACAAGTATAAGTATTATTTACTTCTAGTCAGATGCACCTTAGCTGAAAATCTCCAGAGTAAGAAAAAAAAGACACATATTTGTGATTCATGCAAGGTTATACTAAAAGTTTAATCGATATATATTATATTTCATTATTGAAAATATTTTTGAAACAACCACAGGAATGCATCCATCATTTCAATGATTTTCTTATGTAGAAAAAGAGCAAGAAGCCAACATTTGGCTATGCCAAGCCTGCGGTGCAGAAACAACAGGCAGCCAAGCGTGAACCCAAGGGGGCAAGTGGCAGTGAGAAGACAGAGAAACAGCTGCTGGGAGAGCTGTACGGAGACAAGCAATTCCTGGAGAAACTGCTGAAAGAATATGGTATGTATTACAGTATATTTACACTTGATTCAACTTAAAATCTCTGGATTCAAAACATTAGAAATGTGTAAGGTGTTAGTTTTTTTTTCTTTTTTTTTATCATACATCATTAATTAAATTGTTTTACATAATTTTATCAAAAAATTACTCATTCATTTTTCACTAGACTCCAATACTCAGAGGGGCAAAGAGATCAATAACCTAGTTATCAACTGTCTGGACTACCTCAGTGATCGCAGAGAATTCTGGCGCCAGCAGAAACCTATCTACGCACGCCAGTCAGAGAAGAGGAAGGTAATGGGAGGGGCAGTTGGACAGTCCAAGAGCAATTACAATCAGTACATCATTAAGGAGCTCGAAAAAATAGATGAAGGTATGAAAAAATATTCTGACTTCATTTCAGCCTTTGTTTTATTTTTTTAATCAATCCTGTTAAGCCAACTGCTTGCTATCTCTACATTATGCTCATTAAATGACAAACAAATGAAATATTACAATGCTTCTTGATAATTGCATCATGATAATTGATAAAAATGAAAAAAAAATTCATAATAAATTATTTTACATATGCAATTTTCTGAACAATTTCATGACGTTTAATTCAGTTTGTCAATTTAATGTGGGTCATTTGAAATATAAAAAATAAAGATTAATTTTGTTTTCTTCATGTTCTTCCACCCTCTCATCACTCAGTCTGTTAATACTAGTTAACGCAATAATTGCTTCTTTGTTTTCAGTTAATTTTCATTACGTTATTATAATTTCTTAAATTTTATGGCACAGTTATTTTGACCTTCCTATGTCAAATATCCCGGTGACTCCCTTCACCATAAAAATTTTCATGTAATTATTTAACAGAGGAAAAAATGTTTTGTTTTTTTTTTTTAATTCCTGTAATATTATAAATGGGATAATTCCAGCACAAGCCAATGGCAGGTTTGAGGAGAGTTTACGTATGTCTAACAAGTGCCTGAAGACGGTGGAAGGTTGGTCTGATGATGCAGTTAGCAACAGACATGAGGTGCTGGCAAATCTCTACAGTGCTATGGGGAATGCCTACCTTGAGATGGCACAGTTTGAAAAATCTCTACAATATCACCAAAAAGACCTAGATATAGCTAATAAACAGTGAGTATTATTTATTTATTTATTTATTTATTTTCCTAAAGGGGCCCGCACATGGTGAGTATTTGGCGCGCCCCACTTGCGCTGCGCCAGATGCTCGCGCTCCTCAGCTCCCCTCAAACGATGCGCTCTTTGCTCAGCAGAGTTGCCTCCCGGCCTGCCCCTAGCGGACGCACTGTGAACTGTGGGATCATGTGTTTAAGGAAACATTACATATTGTTGTTTTTTCTGATAGTAATGGATAATGGTGACCATGTTAATCAATTAGACTAACTATAACTGTGTACATTTTTGTTGACTTCGCTGGGGGCTGCCATTTTTGTTTGTTTCCGGCTACTGGCACATGCGCATTGTTAGCATGGCGTGAGCAATCGGCGCTTGCACCCCGCACACGCTGAGACATTTGCCTCAAAATCAAACACGTGAGAAATTTGCTCAGCCACGCGTGAGGCAAAAATCTCACCAAAATACCTCCGCACACGATGAGAAAACGGCGCAGCGCAAGTGGCGCACGCCAAATGCTCACCGTGTGCGGGCCCCTTAAGGAAAATTCTAAATTGTCTTGATATAGTTTTGCAGGTTTTTTTTTTTTTTACCAATTATTTTTTTTCTTTTTGATTTTTATGAAAAACACAAAAAAATGCGCCAACATCTTTCATTTTTTATGTTACCAGTCCTAATTAGAAGCTACATGTAAGACCCAAAATACAGATCTCTACATAGCAGATACAAGGTCCTATAGTTAAAAATTATACTAATATGATAAGACAAGATGTAGTCTCAAGTGCTCACTTCACCAGTGTAGCACAGGTCAAGTAGGGAACAAAAATGGTCCTTGTAGAAACTAGGATGAGAAGTTAATGATACACTTAGTACCTCCTTTGCATGTATGAATCTTATCAATAGCCATCCAAGATGTCTTTAAACTAAGTCAACATGATTGCCAGAAGTGAAATATTCCAGAACTGATGAATGCCAAAATATTCTCCAAACATAATGGTAATAATTAAAACGTTGACAACTTTATACTGGACATTTTCATATTTAATCGAATAATCCTTTGAAGTGCAGCATTGATTGCAAACCACCTTGATTAATACAGTGCTTTAGTACCTAGCAAATGATCCCTTTTTAGAATCAGCTACTAGTACTGCTTTTGTCACTGTCCATAACAATTGCAATCATAATTGGCTTTTTCACAGTGATTCACATTATTTTACCCCTGCATGTTTTTTTTTTCTTTTTCATTTTTTTAATCACTTTTTATTATTATTATTATTATTATTATTATTATTATTATTTTTATTATTATTATTGTCCTTTTTCATTTAGTAGAATTATTTTCTGATCTTAATTTACATGTAACAACAGTGTTATTGATTATCACCTTGGAAAAGTTCAAGTGGCATCACAGACTATTCAACATGTAATTGTTTTTATTGCTCTCCTTAAAAAACATAAGGTATATTATAAATTATTAAACCTTATAAATAGTCATTATGATAAGTGAAAGATACTAACCATTGTTTTTATGTCCAATTCTTCTTTCTATTGCAGTGATACGGAGCATTTAAAGTCCAGGGCCTTGGACAATCTTGGCAGAGTGTACGCCCGGTCAGGGAAATTCCAGGATGCGGTTAATGTGTAAGTACATTCACACTTGTACTTAAAATGTATATATGCTATAATATATCTCTGTGTGAGTGTGATCCAACTGGTTGAGATTATGATTTGGTTACTTATGTAATCCTGTCCCTGAAAGTGTACCTAGGGTTATCTTAGTGTTAAAGTACTACATGTAGTGATATACTCTGATCATGACTTTTTGAACTTTTTTAAATGGAGGGAAAGTATGTTATTTATTTATTTATTTAGTTTTGTCATGCTTTAATTGAAACCTTTTTTATCACGGAGTCACTGGAAATTATACAGCTGCCGTGCAAAAGTTCCTCTTAGTGCATACGCATGTACATCTCTCATATTGTCATGTACAATGTACAGGTACCTCCTTATGTTTCAGATGGACAGAAAAATTACCAATGAGTAAATCAGCACTGGAGAGCACGTGGCTCTTCCACGAGATAGGCCGGTGCTACCTGGAGATGGGCAAGTTTGAGGAAGCCAAAGATAATGGAGAAAAATCTATGGCAGCTGCTGAAGAGGCTCAGGATAATGTGTGGAAACTAAACGCTAGTGTGCTGATAGCTCAGGCTGAAGGTGAGTCATTGTGTTAGTTGAGATAGGTACATTTGCACAAAGCACATTTGACAGAAATTCTGCTAATCAAATCCCATTGGTTCCAATTAAGTTATATTATCAAATTATGTAGCGTCAGTAATGTAAACCATGCCTTTTGTGTGTAACTTTAGGGAAGAGCACCTGGTTTTTCATTTATTCATTTTATCTGATTTTTTAATTGATCAATAATTTTGTAATAATTATAACCCTGTACATTTCAGTAAAATTGGGAAGTTATGAATCTGCACAAGAAGCATTTGAAAGATCTCTTGACATGGCAAAATTACAAGGTGAGCTTTTTTTTTTTTCTATTGGTTGGGGTGCATTCTCCAAACATCAATTTACTATTTCAAGAATATTTGCTATAAACGGTGAAGAAAACATCTTTCTTCAGTTTGATAGTAATTTTATATTTATTTCAGGTGACACAGCAGCAGAAAATGCAATTAAAAAAGCTCTAGAAGATGTGAATGCAAAAATAGTCAGTGGTCTCAAGGGGGAGTCAGAGACAGAACAGACTGAAGAGGCAGCACCTGCTGAACAAAGCCAAGAAGAGGCAGAACCAGCAGCTGAAGATGGTAAGACAAAATAAATTTATATATATATATATATTTATGGATCAGTCTATTAGCTGTGTAGCATTTACCGTAATTTAGAAAAAAGAAATGATGTTGCCAGGATTTGTTGTTACATGCAGCAGATGATGATTTGTTGAGCATATTTGATGATTTGTTTTAAAAAATAAACATTCCTTTTTTTACTGAGATAAGTTCCTATCATATCAAATATCAAATTTGTCTCTGATGTATCAAGAGGTTTGCTGTGTTCTTTGCTTGCAATACTAACCAAAGGCATTTGATTTGTGCAATTCCATCAGGTAAACCCACCCCCTCTGATGCTGAGGCAGCTGATGAGGAGTACAGCGAGGATGAGGTGGAGGAGGAGGAGGAAGTCGAGGAGGAGGAAGAAGAAGAGGATAATTAAGAAAAATAGAACACATTGATAGATTCTGTCTTGCAACAATGTTTGTACTGCATGTTTATACTAACAAACTGCTCACAGGATTAATGGTATCCAAGCCAAGGAAATGATGGATCACCATGGGAGGCTGCCATGCAGCCATTGATTTGTGAAGATGTTGATGGAGAAAAAAATTAATTTTTAATCCAGTGATGAGGTATCACACTCCAGCGACAGTACCTTTGCAACTGTTGTGTTCTGTATTCTGACCTACTGCATATTTTATTTTATTATTTTTCCAGTGCATTAGATGCTTTTTCTTTCTTCTTAAATGTGTAAAACTTATCTCTAACTACTCTCATGTACTTAACCACTTATTATGTTTGTTCCCATCTTTCAGCAACCTCAACCGACACAAGTGTGCATAAGCTGATAAATCCATCAATCCTTTGTTTATATTTTCCAGTTTCAAACATATTCCTGGTGATATTTATACTTATCCATATATGTATCTACTTCCAAGCAATATACTTGTAGTTGAATTATGTCTGTGTGACTGCTTGTTTTATAGTTAAATTGATCCTCTCCTCGCAACCCCTCACCATTTCCTAGTGTCCTAGATCAGGTGATGGATGGCCCAGCAAAACCTGGCAATAGTTGGCTTAGTATTTTATTTTGGTTTATTTTGTTTCGTTTTGTTTTATTTTTTTGTTTTTATTTTTCTAATGTTTCCTAGGATCTGCTTCATGTTTATTTTACCTTCGTTTCCTCTCTTTTTTTCTCGCAGATACAGAACAAACTGCTGCTGCGGAAGATGATACCCAACAACAGGTGGAAGAGTAAAACTGGTTATTGTGCTAGTTGAGCCGCCAAATTGTGTTGGATGAGACAGGCTATGATATTAAATAATAGTTTCAACAAAGTAATAACAAACACATCAACTACAACACTTATCCAACTTAACCATAATAAATGGGGTCTGATGACTATGCAAAACAGAGACAAATTTATTTTAACTGAAATTCTGTGATTTGCATAAGGAAAAAATGCTTTTATAAATTATATGTTTATGTATTCCTTGTCTTACGTTTTCTATTTTTATTATAGTGGTACAATTTCATAGCATTTTTGCATCATATAACATTTTTGATGAGCACAGTATTACCTCTGTTCTATTTTAAATCAAACAATACTGAGTACGCCAAATGGGTAAATCATATTTACTTGCCGGATTATACTTTTTTTTATCTATAAACAAATATATTTGTACACATATGTATGTCAAATTCTGTTGACAGAAAACCTTTTACATTATTCAATGTTAGTGAAAAAAAAAGAAAAACAATGCATTTATGTGACATTTGCATAAAATTGTCTTTGGTCATGAGACATCAATATGTTTGTGTTCATTAATATCTCTTAATTTCAGTGTCTTATACGCATATAGGTGATAAGAATCTCGTTTACGACATGCATACACTTACTTGTATTGCTACAGATTATCTCTATTTTCTGTTGTACAATATTGCTGTATGCAAGATAACATTACGTTCTAGCGGTGCCAAATAAAATGTATGTTTATCCAGTTGATTATATTGATGCTTTCATTATTATTATTATTATTATTATTATTATTATTTTAGTATAATTATTATTATTATTTGACGAGATATGGGAGGGAATGGAGGAAAATACCGGGTTGAGAGAAAGAGAGAATTGGCAGAGAAAAAAAAAATGATTTGCACGGGATTCTCTCCTTACTTTGCTGTGTTATAACTTCAGGTCATTTTACAAAACCAAGTTACAGCATGTGCCCTCACTCATTGCTAAGCCCATTTTATGCTGCCAGTAGTTCATCTGATTACTATAATTTAAAAATGGAGTAATATTTGATTAGTGCTGTTGACTAGAATGGCACATTGTAAATAATAGTAAAATAATAGTATAAATAGCCAAAGTTCATTGCAGCATTGTATGAAATTTAACAATCTTTAATTAATGCAAAATATACCATAAGACAACAAATAAGACAACCCAAATATCAGTGCACGTCTGTGATTGGGCACATTAGGGAATGCTCTAGGACAAAAACATGGACTTTACAGTATTCCCATTTTATAAATTCACTAGGGAAACAACCCAAACAGAAAGGGAAATGAAAGAAAATCAATTCATTAATATAATATAAGTATAAACCTACATTGGTAAAAGCAACAATTAAACACCCATTGTTACAGACGTCACATTTTAGCCTTTATGACATCACCTAGTAACAAATAAACAAAACCCCCTGAAGAAAGAATGAAACTGGTCGGGGCAAAATAGCTGCTGTTTCTTTTTCTTTTTATTATATATATATATATATATATATATATATATATATATATATATATATATATATATAACAATTATCTAACAACCCTAATTAATTTTTTTAATATCAATAATTTAATTATTTTATAATAATAACTTATAAATAAACTAAATAAACCAAACAGATAGCTTTACAATGTATTAATGCATTAAAATAATTTTACAACCTTCAAAATCTAAGGAGTAGTCTGCCTAGTATTGTCGACTTATTCAAGGCATGAAAAAAAAAGCAATTAATTATAATTTCATTTTATTAAAATGAATAAAACTAATAATAATAGTATTTATTTCTTATTAACAGCACCACACTTCCGTCTCAGTTCTGTTTACAAATAAAATTCTCAAAATTACAAGTAATTAAATAATTATTAAAAGCTGAGGTGAATAAAACAATTAAAATGATTAATGAAGGTCATAATAGTAAAAATCTGAATAATAAACCTTTTCATGATAAAAATATATGATTTTAAGTATTAAAATTAATTGAAGTACTGTGCAAATAAGAATGTTTTCAAGTCTTTTAAAAAATTTAACACTATCTATAGGCGGAATGTGTGAGGGTAGTTAATTCCATAAAATGGGTGCTGAAATTGAAAATGCCCTGTGGCCTTATTTTTATTTATTTATTTTTATTTATTTATTTATTTTATTTTATTTTATTTTATTTTATTTTATTTATTTATTTATTTTTTATTTTTATTTTTTTTATTTATTTATTTTTTTTTTTTTTTGGGTCATTTCTGGTAAAACAAAGAGTGGAGGTGGATCTGGTGGGCCCGGTGAGATTGGCTGAACTTGGATGTAGCATAGAGGTAAAATACGAAAGGCAAACACCTCTGGTGTATTTAGAAATAAACAGCAGTAATTTTAAAATAATTATCTGTCGTACGGGAAACCAGTGTAGTTCGAATAAAATAGGTGAAATGTTTGATCTGAGAGGGTTTTTGGTCATGCTGCAGCATTTTGGACAGATTGCAGTTTTGCAATTTGGTCCGTAGTCAAGATGCGAAGTTATGAAGGCATGGACAAGCCTATTCTTTTAACTGGGAGTAGGAGGATCGGAGACAGGAGGCTCAGCTTCTTGTAGGCCTAGAAGGAGTTGATTCCGCGCTCTCAAAGGATTTTTTTAAAGTTTTTCAATTTTGTTGTTAAAAACCCGGGAACACAGAACAAAGTTGCTAATCGAAGAACATGCAGTGTTCTGGTTGTGCCTATAATTCGCGCGACAATCCGTACGCGTATTCTCCATGTACGTATTTACTCTGTACTCACGCCCCCTGGGAGACAATGGGTTGTTTTGATAAACGACAAAAGCCTGTGCGGGTAGCAAACAATAGCGACGTGGACTCATACAGGGCCTAAGCGCACAGGGGGAGGGGCGCATATGTAAATTATTGTACGGGCGACCCTTGGAGACGGGAGTTCGTCCTCGCCAAGCGCGACGGGAAGTAAATTGATGCGCGCTATAATCCGACTTAGCTTTCAACTTAGCAGTATTGCACCTTGCTCTGGGCTGAATGTCGACCTGCCGAACATGTCGTCTCGTTGTTTTGTTTGCTTCTTACAATCAGGGGAATGGGCCTCTGCTATTTATTACATTGGAAGATTTTTTAGTAGTTTTGGTGAATATCTCGAACGATCAGTCTGTGGCCCGTACCAGTTAACTATTCTGATCTTGGCGGGAGTCTCCCTAATTTTGGACGTATCTACCGATCTTCCTTTTCTCTCGATACATCACACTTTTCTCTTTGTCCTTACGTTTGGAAACTCGGTGACTTCATTCACGAAAATGTGCTGTAACATTGCTTTCTCAGGTTAAGTGATAGGGGTATAGATAGCATTAAACAATAAAAAGAAAATACCAACGACAAAGCCGTGCCAGGTCTTCGTGTGAGTAACATCCGAAACACTGTACATGTATGTTGTTTTCGTGGAGACGAAGCTGGTTTCGAAAGGAACCTAAATAGCGATAATTAAAACCACAGCTTGGTAAGCTACCTGGACATTGTAATAAGTGATAGATACAATACAAGTCGCCGAGCCGAACGTGAAATATAACGAGTGTATTGTCGAGCCACAGGTTGAGTATATTTCGGGTACAGCTCGGTGGCGAGTGTTGTATCAAGCTCAAACCACAGCCTCTCATCGGTTAGTGCAATGTCCTCGCGATATATTACTGGATGCCAGCTGAGCGGTGGAAAATTAATTCAAGCAAAAATTCTTGTTGGGCATTAGAAAAACTTATCAAAAATGACTTACGAGTGTGTCAATTTGCCTAACGGCAAGGGCTTAAGTGTTTGTGCAAGATCGATCACATAACTGCATTCACTTACTCTAACTCTTTGAGTTATAAAATAGATTACTTAAAAGAAGATCTTTAACTGATACGTATACAAATGCTGTGGAGGAGAGTTCGCCCAAACAGATCATAAGAGGTAAATGACATCTGATTGCCCTTTGTCGTGAACACAATAACATCATGTATGAAGATTTTACTGGGCGATATTATATAAGAGTAGATCGTCAGTTTGCGAGGGTGATCATCTTCTCTTTGCATTGTGGAGTATAGTATTGCAGTATGGATTAATTCTACTAGGTGACCACTTTGATAAAAAATAAGCTAACAACAGTCCAGTCAATTATTTTACAAGAGACTACAATTTATTTGTGCGAAAATATAATTGAATTGGTGACATACATGGCGTTTTCACAAGAGAGGTGGCTCCTTTGCTTTAAGCAATGCTTGTCGGCGGTGGAAATTACAATTACAACGATTTGTTTGCTGGTTAATGATCGCATTAAGTGGTGGCCGATTTCGCACCCTCTACATTTCATTCAATGGCAGTTACAATTGGTAGCCGCCCCTCTTTGTTTCGGTGTCCAGTGTTACCTAATGACTGGGTTGTAAATGACCTTTATATTAAAAACTATTCCATTCTTTGTCTAGGTCTACTAGTACACATCCCAAGAGCGTTCTCAGGCAGCAATTGTTAATCATTAAACAATAGCGATAAAGCATCGGTTTCGGCAAATTTCAATCTTTGGGGCCATCAACATCAACCTAAATATTCAAGAGACGCCAGTAAACTAAGTAAAGTACTTTTTCGTTGGCAGTGTCAGGGTGAATCAAAATTTTCTCAATTGGGTGCTGGTAGGCTAATGAAAGACTAGGAAATAAGCGTTTATTGCATCGAGAATTTAATCCTGTGCAACCTTCTACAAAATGAATATTTTACACTACTGCATGGGTCGTTATTCATAAGGAATATTTTT